GAAAAAAAAAAAAAAGATAGGATCATACTGCTAGTTTCTAGTCAACAGTCAACAAACGCCAAACAATGCAAGGTTTTTTCTGCTTTCTCATCTACCTCTCAAACATCAAAGCTGAGTTTGGTCCTATATGCAGATCCCTATAAAATTCATTACAGTTTATAAAGAGTTTCCTCCCAAAACTTCTGGAAATACCAGTCAGACAATAATGAAGAATATTATTATATCTACTTTGAGATCAATGAAAAATCACAATGGTTTATTTGTCCGAGACCAGGTACTCACTCCCATAAAAATATGACGATCATTACTCATTCTTCCTATCTTTTCTATTCTTTATATACATTTAAACTTATTAAAACTTCTTCCCCTTAAGCCCCCCACCAAATTGTTACCAAACACTGTTGTTCTTCAACTACAAATTTGCCCTTTGTGCAGTCACAGTTTGGAAAAACTTATCAGATAATTCAATATTTACTTTTTCCATTTTTTATAAATTCCATATATTTCAATATTAATGAGAATTCTGTTTACCAAACTTTTGGGGGAGACACACATTCTGAGTCTCTTATGTTAAACAGTGTTTCAATCAGTCTGTCTGGTGTTGTGTCTCACTGTCATGAAAAACCGTAATAAACCATTTTAAATGCCCAGTGAAAGACAGACAGACAGTGGAGGAATGCCCACTGTACTCAAATGTTTCCCACTTCCAATAGGCCGAAGAAATGACTCGGTCTGCAAGACAACTGGTGTCTTCAAATGTGGTACAGTACATAGAAACTGAGCAATCCACACTCAAAGCACAAGGACATTTGCTCAGTAATGTTCATGGCAGCATTACTTGTAATAGCCAGGACTTGGAGTCAACCTGGATGCCCCTCAATCGAAGAATGGACAAGGAAAATGTGGTACATTTAGACATTGGAGTACTACTCAGTGATTAAACCAAAAAAAGAAAGAAAGAAAGAAAGAAAGAAAGAAAGAAAGAAAGGACATCTTGAAATTCGAAGGCAAATGGATGGAACCAGAAAAAAAAAAAAAATCCTGAGTGAGGTAACCCAGACCCAGAAAGACAAATATGTACTCACTCATGATTGGATATTAGACTTAAAGCAAAGGACAACCAGCCTACAGGCCACAACCCCTGAGAACCTAGAGGACCCTAGGAAAAGGAACTAGACAAGATCTCCTAAGTAAATAGGAAGAGTAGGGGCAGGAGGGAGAGTGGAAGGGGAGGGGAGAGGGAAGGAGAGTGGGGGATGTATTGCTCAATGTTTTTTAAACTGGGCAAAAAAAAAGAAAAAGAAACCTAGCGATCCAGGCGGCAGAAATGTCAAGAATAGATGACTAAAAGCTAAGGAACCCAATCACATCTCTCTGCAAAGGGAATGAGCAAAGCGAGCGGGCAGAGAATTTAGGAGACACTGCTTTGGGAAAACAGCTGACAGCCTGACATGGAGAAATACCGACGTGAGGAGAGGAGTAGGTGGACTACCTCCCGGAAGTGTCAAGTCCTGCAATTCTAAGTAACTTTCCGAGATCTGTCTAAGAGAAAAAACGACAGCATTTCAGGAACGAAAGACGGATTCTCTGGGAGAGTGCTGGCCTGAAGTGCAGGAAGCGCTCAGTGTGAGCCCTGGTCTTAAAAGGAGGAAAGAAAACACTCCAAAGCGGAGATACCTGGCGTAACACTTCGGCCCTGGCAATGCGGGTCCGTTCTTTTCGCTCTTCGATACTCCTAGCACTTTCAAATCTTCCACCCAACGCCGCCATAGTTGTAGCTGTCATAAAGCGAGGAAGCCGTCCGGAAACCTCAGTTTACGACTGTCGCAAAGCAGGAACCAAATCCTGGCCTGTTACTATGCCAACGGAGCAGGCGCAGATTGAAAGGCGGCAGAGCTAAAGGTTTGGTGGAACGTTGGAAGTCCGCCCCGCGGCGGGCGTTTTAGGTGTGCGGGGTTCGCTGAGTTAATAATCAGCATGCGCAATGATGTACCTTGCACTGTGCTAGCTCCTGTCTTATCAAGACTCTTACTATCCAGATATCTGCGTTCTTGCCTGATTTCCTGTGATGGTGCACCAGGCTAAAGGGACGCTAATCAGAAAGTCAGGAGAACGTGGGGGGAAAGGGAAAAAAAAAATTGCTCTAAGATTCACTATTTTTTTTTTGTTGGTGGGTGTTTTTAAATATATTGGAAACGGAGTTGGAGAGATGGGTGAGTGGTTTGCTCTTGCAAAGGACCTAAGTTCAGATCCAAAAGCCTTGTGGAGGTTCACAACCATCTGTAGCTCTATTTCCAGGGGACCCACCGCCCTCTTCTGGCTTCCACAGGCACTTCACCTCCTTGGTGTACTTAGATAAAGGCAAACAAAACACTCACACACACATTCACACACCCTGTAGAGGTTGAGAGTGTTGCACAAGCCTGAGTGCAGGAAGAGTTCTCATCATTGGGTGTGAGATGCATTGAGTGTAAGATTCTCTCTCATGAAGAAAGCTGGGTGTTGGTGGCACAGGCCTTTAATGCCAACACGGGAGGCCGAGGCAGGCGGATCTCTGTGAGTTCAAGGCCAGCCTGGGCTATAGAGCTAGTTCCAAGACAGCCTCCAAAGCCACAGAGAAACCCTGTCTCTAACCCCCTCCCCCAAAATAAAAAAGCAGGGACCTTATGTTTACTGCATCTTGCTTAAATAAGTCTCTGTATCAAAATACTAGTTCTTATCTGTGCTACATATGATTCGTTCACAAGGATGGTAATAGGAAAATTGAGATAAGCCATTTCTCTTTCTTTTTACCTCTGGCAACTCAGCAGAATTTAAAATGCCAAACTTCAACGGTTACACCCCTATGCCCCCCACCAAGTGCTATTGTTGATTTGATTCATTACATTTAGAAGGCTGCAACCTGCACAGATGTACCCACTGAGAGTAACCAGCCAATACAGAGCTGATTGGAAGGGCTGCTGCACCTGCTCACCTAATACCAAAGGCACCCATAGGAGCACACCATGAAATATACTGCAGCTGGTCTGCTGGTTTTCAGTAACCTGGCTTCTCTGTTAGTCAGAACTGCTGTGAAAGTTCATTTTGCTGTTAAGAAGCAATACTCACGAGCCTTTGTATTGCAGAAGAAATGAAAATGTCAGGAAACTAAAAACTAGATTTTGATAATTTCCCTCCTGACCTTCCCTGTTCCATATCCCAGCATGATGACCAGGCTGATATTGTTACAACTAAGGTAGAGCTGCCTGTATCTCCATTCATCCCACAGGGTTTGCCCTGCTCCAACTGCATACAAAGAGACACATATTAGGCCTTGAGATGTCCTTATTGAGACAGGCTAGGCTCAGATATGTTGAAATCTGGCCTTCTTGTCAGTCCTAGAGACGAGCCATGCATATTAGCCACCCTGTAGCTGTGCTTTCATGGCCTCTTCTGTGTGAACTTCCCTCCCTCTCTTACTCTTCCCCTTTCTCCATCCCCTCCCTTACTTCCAGTGCTGGGCCTCAGTCACAAGGGCCCCATTCCATCTTTCATTACCACATAAGGCTTTTGTATGTCTTCATATCCCAGGTAAAACAAATATCCCTTTCACTGATCATAAAATCTAATGTTCCCATCTACACACTACTCCCCACATATTTTCACATCATGATTTAATGCTATTATAGCTCTCTATCTCTACTTGAAGTTGTCTTGACTGTTTTCTTGCTTGTTTCCTGGATAACCCCCTGAATACCTAGTGCATGTCAGTTCAAGAACTTTCATGAATGGTTGAATTTACATAAATAAATTGCATATATCTGCTTATGATTTTAAAACTCCCTTTATTTTTTATTTTTTTCATTTTTTATTTGAATTAGAAACAAGATTGTTTTACATGCTAATCCCAGTTCCCTCTCCCTCCCCTCCTCCTCTACCACCCCTCTTAAGTAACACCCTACCTATCACATACCCTTTCTGCTCCCCAGGGAGGGTGTAGCCTTCCATAGGGTGTCTTCAGAGTCTGTCATATCCTTTGGGATAGGGCCTAGGCCCACCACCATGTGTCTTGGCTCAGGGAGTATTCCTCTATGTGGAATGGGCTCCCAAAGTCCACATCTATGGTAGGGATAAGGACTGATCTACTACAGGAGGCTCCATGGATTTCTGAGATCTCCTCACTGACACCCACATTCCTGGGGTCTGGATCAATCCCATGGTAGTTTCCCAGCTATCAGTCTGGGGAGCAAGAGCTCCCCTGTAGGGCGACACTGTAGCCCCGCCTCCTAGGAGCCCCTACAGGTGTGCCTGGACACGCCCATGAGGGCGTGGTCAGGGGAGGTGGAGGATGACTCCTGAGAATTCTTAAGGAGCTGCAGACATGTGGAGAGCCCCTTCTCTCTGGCCTCCCTAGCTTGCTGCCTTTGAGCACGCTCTGGCTTGCGTTTGGCTGGTGTTTATCTGAATAAAGAAATCTTAGCCTTATGGACTATGGATCATCTTCACGCACGCAATACTCCATATTATTCAGGTCAGCTGTTTCTGTGGGTTTCACCAACCTGGTTTGACCCCTTTCCTCATCACTCGTCCTTCTCTGCAATTGGATTCCAGTTCAGTTCAGTGATTAGCTGTGAGTGTCTGCTTCTAACTGTGGGGCGTTGGTAGCACACGCCTTTAATCCCAGCAGAGGAGGCAGAGGAGGCAGAGGCAGAGGCAGAGGCAGAGGCAGGCGGATCTCTGTGAGTTCAAGGCCAGCCTGGTCTCCAGAGCAAGAGCCAGGATAGGCTCCAAAGCTACACAGAGAAACCTTGTCTCGAAAAACCAAAGAAACCAAAAAAATGTTTCTCGGCCTTTTGACTAAGATCAAGTTTAGTATCAGTTTACAACTCCCTTTATATTCATAGTAATTTATATTCATAGTAATTACCATAAGAAGTACAAAGTTAGGCATATAGAATCTGTACTTTACACAAAATAATCTGTGGATGAAGAGATGGCTCAGCAGTTGAAAGGAATTGTTCATGTTAAGTCCCATGTTGAGTTCCCAACACCTACAAAGCAAGCCACAACCATTTATAACTCTATTTCCACAAAATCATATGCCCTCTTCTGGTGTCTGTGAGCATTATACTTAAGTAGAGTTAAAATATTCATACACTTAAAAGAAAAATAATCAGAAATCTTTTAGTAGATTCGTAATGCTTACCAAATTAGACAACCTGTTTGAAAACAATTATATGAAATGATGTTTTGGAGAGGTTAAATTCTAAAATAAAATAAAGGCACTTGGGTGTGTGAAAACAATCTTACACAGTAATACAGTAATATGAATAAATTAACATGCAAGGGATATAGGTATATTCTCTTTCACCAGGACACACAGAGAGAGAATGTCTTTGAGGCTGAAACAGGTCCTGTGAGGATGACCATATGTCCTAGCTCACATAAAGCAATCTAATTTATATTTGTTTCCCTGATGGTTATCAACAACTCCTTAATTAGTTTTTCAAAGGGTCATAGTTTAGATCCTAAATCACATGACCACCCCAATATTAATTCTATGTTAATTCCTTTTCAACATATAGTTGGTTGTCTTTCGGTGGCCAAGAGCCAAGAAAGACCAAGTAATTCTTCTGACAATATTTGTAGCCAAGAAGAGAGATTCCAGCCACTCCGACTGTGATAAGTTCTGAGGTATTAGTAATATGTTCCGTGCACAATTTCTGAAGCCAGATTTGCTAGTTTTAAAACCCTGCCACTTACTTTTACATAAACTGCTTCTTTTGGATGCCTCTAATTTCTGTGAGAATTGAATGAGTTAAAGAATGTGGAGTTGGCAGGCTAAGTGCTAAGTGTAAATCAAGGGCAATGATTTTCAGATTTTGGTATTATCTCCGAGTCGGTGGCCTGAAGTCATATGTTCTAGTCACCTTAGTCAGCTTGATACAGCCTATAGTCATGTTAGAGGAAAGCCTTCACTGAGGGAATATCTAAATCAGATTTGCCAGTGGGCAAGGAGTGGAGACAACTTCCTTGGTTGGTAAGTGCTGTAGGGGGGCCCAGCCCACTATGTATGCCACCATTCCTTGTCCAGCTAGTCTTGGACTATAGAATAAGTATGAGCAAGTTAGCCTAGGAACAGAGAACTAATATTCCTCCGTGTTTTCTGCTTCAGGTTCCTGCCCTGACTTCCCACAATAATGGACTGTGACCTGGAAATACAAACCAGATAAATCCTTTCCTCCCCTAAACATGGTCTTTATCACAGCACTAGACTGAAACTAGCAAACTAAACTACCTTTTTGTCTCTCCAATGTTTATGGCATGAGTGCCTTCTATCTTCATTGCATTCTTGTTATTAGTCATGTAGGAAAGCAGGGTGGTGGTGGTGGTGGTGGTGGTGGTGGTGGTGGTGGTGTACACCTTTAATCCCAGCACGTGGGAGGCAGAGGCAGGCAGATCTTTGTGAGTTCAAAGCCAGCCTGGTCTACCAAGATAGCCAGGAGAAGCTCCAAAGCTACACAGAGAAACCCTATCTCTAATCCCCACCACCCAAAAAGAAGTCATGTAAGAAGCAAGGAAAACATTTCTCAGTAGGCTCCTTAGCATTGGAACACATCACTGATTCTCCCTGCTGGAGTATCAAAGTAGTTTGTATTCAGATTCTATCTTCTCAACAAATCACCAACACCTTTTGTGGTTCACATCAGGTAAGTAAAGTGTCCAACTGAATTTTTAAAAATTATATTTACTTATTCTTTTAAATTTCATTTTACGTACCAACCACAGCTCTCCCTCCCACCTCCTCTCACCTCCCCCCCCAAGCCCA